AGTTGACCGTTCTGAATCCGGCGAACAATGTCTGACTGATCGACAGTGAAATGGATGCATTGTTCTGGACGTTCGACAGGTTGCCGGAATTGGCATCTGCCCAGGTACGGCCGATGCTCGCTCCGGCCGTTACAGTCGGCCGCCATCCTGACAGCGCCTGTGGAACCCCTTCATCGGTGCCGCGCAACGCAGCCCGTGCAGCATTCAATGACGGGTTATTGGTATAGGCCAGGGCAAGCGCTTCGCGGATCGTTTCGGCTCTTGCAGGAGTTACTGCAGATCCAATCAACGAAACGGCAGCAACCCCACCCATCAGCGCAAAGCCGACAGTTGCTGCCTTAATTGTCGAACGACAAATCACCCAACGCTCCTTCCGGATCACAACACTTGAGTCTGTTGAGTAAACTGAAGGGTTTTATTCTTCAACCGTTTGCGAGCGAGAAAATCGGAAATTCTGTTAGTGCGGCTTTAAGGCAACAAGTTCGAACTTCCGATAAACCGCTCTCTCAACTCCAGAAACCCGCGTCCCCACTCAGGTCTCTTTTTCAAAGTATGGCCAATTGGTTAAAAAACAAATTCTTCCGCAGCAGCAAAGCCGGGCAACAGGCCGGCTGCGGCATTGAAGCCGAATCGACTGCTCACTGCTTCTCCCGACTTCTGATAAAGGCGCGCTACGCCGGCTCCACCCTGCCCTTCAACAACCACCAGACGCCCGAGCGGCTTCAACTGATCTGTCAGAACACTTGGCAATGTCTCCACTGCACCGTCGACGAATATCACATCATAAGGGCCTTCCGATGCATATCCCTTGACGAGCGGACCATCGACAACAACGGCATTCTCGATGCCGAGATCTACAAGAACATCGGTCGCTGATTTGACCAGATCCTCGTTTTCCTCAAGGGCGACGATCGACGCAGCCAAATTCGAGAGGACCGCGGCGCTGTAACCGGCCCCGGCGCCAACGACCAGCACGACGTGATCTTCGCGGATTTCAGCAAGTTGAACCAGCTTGCCGAAAATATGCGGTTTCATCAGGACCCGCCCGCAATCAGCCGGGCCAACCGGAAGGTCTTCGTCTATGTAGGCAATCGCCTTTTTCGACGCCGGTACGAACCGTTCACGGGGGATGGCCTCCATCGCATCAAGGATCCGATGATCGGTTACATCGTTGGTGCGCAACTGGTTGTCCACCATCTTGCGGCGGGACTGACTGTAGTCCGTCATTTCGGCCCTCACTTTGCCTCGCCGGACACCCGGCGCCTCTTGAGAACGTTCCTTAGCGAGACAGATGCCGCCTGACAAGTATCCGTCAAGTTCGTTCTCGGCAAAAGGCGGCCGCACAGCAAGGAAAAAGTGCATATCTCGCCAAGACCCGTCGTGTTCCTTCCCGGGTTCCGGACATGGCCAAAAGCAGACTTCCCGGAGTGATCTGCGCCCTGACACCGGGATTCTCCCGACGAGGCCCAGGGCAGTCCATCGAACCCGCGAATGCCAGCGTGAGTTTCGACCAAATCCAGCGCCTTTGCTGGTCTTGATGCGGCATCGGTGGAAATTCCAACCGGTTCGATTTCAGGGCTTGACCAAATCGCGCATCTGTTTGATAAGGCGCGGCACACCACCTCGGTGGCCCTGTGGCGGAGTGGTGACGCAGCGGATTGCAAATCCGTGTACACCGGTTCGATTCCGGTCGGGGCCTCCAAATTCTCCGGAAAATTCGACCTAACGCATGCAGCGCGTGAGCACTGTTAGCTGCACGCTACCTCTTTCCCTAGCGTCATGATAGCGTTTTACCTGTTCAAACAGACAGGGGGAATTCAAATGAAGACACCAGGTGGAACCGTACCGCACGCGGCCAAGCAGGCGCGCGTGGTCACGACGTCGACAATGAAGCGGGTCGAACCGCCCCGCCCGCGCAAATCACCGCAGATCGTTTCGGAAAACAACAATACCGAAGTCCTGGTGGAAACGTTGCGCCAGCGAATCAACGATCTTGAAGCCCGGATTGGCGATCTGGAAAGCGTCATCACGTTGCAGAATCAGGACGTGATCATCAGCGCCTCCAAAAGCGTCCTGATCCAGGGCATGGATACCGTCGAGATCTCGGCCGGGAGCAAAGTCAAGGTCATTGCCGCCATGACCGAGACCAATGCACCGCTCGCCAAACATTCGGGCGTTCTGGAATGCGACACCCTGCAGGCAAACGCCGTGATCAGCGCTTCCTACACGCCAGGAGCCGGGAACATCTGGTAAATTGAACCGGTATTGATTTTGGCGTCGGCACGTGCCGGGCATTCCCGGCTCTTGACTTGAGCCTTCAAAACTGCGGATGCTTTCCCCATGAAGGAACCCAGTTTCAGTGTCGGCGTCGAAGAAGAATATCTGCTCGTCGACAAGACCAGCCGAAAATTGGCGAGTTCCCCGCCAGAGGAGCTGTTTTCGGCCTGCGAAAGCGCCCTTGAAGGACGGGTCAGTCCGGAATTCCTGCGATGCCAGATCGAGGTTGGAACGCCGGTCTGCATGACACTCGGCGAAGTGCGAGCGGAGCTTGCCTACTTCCGCAAGACTGTTGCCAAGGAATCTTCGGATCACAACCTTGCACCGATCGCCGCCTCGACACACCCTTTTGCCGAGTGGACGGACCAACCGCATACGGACAAGGAACGATACAACCAGATTGCGCGCACCATGCAGGTGGTTGCCAGACGCATGCTGATTTGCGGCATGCACGTTCACGTCGGGATCGAAGACGAAGAATTGCGGATCGATCTCTTCAATCAGCTTGCCTATTTCCTCCCGCATCTCCTGGCTCTGAGCACATCGTCCCCGTTCTGGCGAGGCCGCAACACCGGGTTGAAATCCTATCGGCTCGCGGTTTTCAACGAGATGCCGAGAACCGGATTGCCACCACGTTTCGAAAGCCATCACGAATACCGGCATATCGTCGACATCCTCAGCAATGCAGGCGCTCTGGAGGATGCAACGAAAATCTGGTGGGACCTTCGCCCGTCCGATCGGTTTCCCACGCTCGAACTGCGCATAACGGACGTTTGCCCGAAGCTCGATGACGCTGTGGCAATTGCCGCACTCTACAGGTGCCTTTGCCGTATGCTGTACCGCCTTCGGCGCGCGAACCAGAGCTGGCGCCCGTACTCAAGGTTTCTCCTTGCGGAAAACCGGTGGCAGGCGCAACGGCATGGAACTTCGGCCGGCCTGATCGATTTTGGCCGCAACGAAACAGCACCGTTCGTCGACCTGGCAGAGGAACTGATCGAACTCGTCAGGCCCGATGCAATCCATTTCGGCTGTGAAAGCGAATTGGAACATATCCGGACCATTGCGGCAGAAGGCACCTCAGCGGACAAGCAGCTGAAGCTTGCCGGGGTGATTGCCGATGACGGCCTCCTTCCCAAGGACGCGTTCAACAGGATCGTCGACCACCTGATGAGCGAGACCCTGTCCGGATTGTAAGACCTGTTTAACCGGCGCCATCCGGCTTTCTGTGGGGTGAGCCGTGGGCGACTGCGTGAAAGTGTGTTCGCTCACCTGTCAGTACAAAGGCAAATTCGTCAATTTCCGAAATAACTGCGTCGGCGGACCTCGCAAGCCCGGACTTGGGACGCATTGCGCGCTGTGCCTCGATCAGTGACTTTCTCGCGTGCGAAAGTGCGTCCAGTACATCATCGCGATCAAATTCCCTTGGACCTCGGGTCCGGCGCTCAGCAGCCATCGTCAACTCCATTTTTGTTCTCTTTTTGTTCTTATCAGGTCCGGATTCTCCCTGTCAATTTGCGTTTCTGACAAGGTATGTGTCGTTTCACGCGCTGACCGATCATTGCAAATCGGATAATTCTATCGGCAATTGGTAACAAGACGTGGCGCTGGACAGCTTTCTGGCGATCCCATGATTTTTCGAAGGATGATTTCGTGAAACACGGTGGTGATTTGTCGCTGGCGATCGAACGTTTCGGCGGGAGTGCAGTCGACTGGCTTGACCTTTCCACGGGCATCAATCCGCATCACTATCCTGTACCAAAGGAACTGTCGTTCGGGACATGGACATCGCTTCCGTCCCGTGTTGCGGAGGAACAGTTGATTTCAGCGGCACGCCGTGCCTATCAGGTGCCCGCACATCTTGGCCTTGCGGCCGCGCCCGGCACGCAAATCCTGTTGTCGCTCTTGCCGTCCATCCTGCCAGAAGGACCGGCGGCCCTCGCCTCACCAACCTATCCGAGCCACAAGGCCGTCTGGCAACGCGATGGCCGGATGCCAATGGAACTCTCCAGCGTCTATGCCCTGCCCGCTGATGCGAAGATCGTCGTTCTGGTCAATCCGAACAACCCGGATGGTCAGCTGATTGATGTGAAAAGCCTTTTGGAAATTGCAAGAACTCTCTCTGATCGCGGTGGTTATCTGGTGGTTGACGAGGCTTTCGCAGATGTGATTCCGGGCGCAAGCATCCTGCCACATCTGGGTGACGAGAACGTCGTCGTTCTCAGGTCGTTCGGCAAGTTCTTCGGGCTGGCCGGGCTAAGGCTCGGTTTCCTGGCCGGTCCGCAGTTGATCGTCGAGAAACTGTCCGGACTTCTGGAGAGCTGGAGCGTGAGCGGTCCGGCGCTCGAGATCGGCGCGAGGGCCTTGCGGGATACGGAATGGCAGGAAGCAACTGTTCGCCGGCTTGTTGACGAAATGGCCGATCTTACTATCGCGGTATCTGAACAGCAGTTGAGCGTTTTCGGTGGTACGCCGCTTTTTGCCCTGGCGGGTTTACGCAACGCCAAGGGCCTTCACGAGGCGTTGGCACGGCGACATATCTGGACACGGATATTCGACTACGCGCCAACCTGGATCCGACTTGGTTTGCCGGGCGGTGCGGAAAACCTGCAGCGTCTCACAAACGCCCTGTCGGACGCCCGCGAAGAACTTTGACTATTTGCTGGCAGCAAGAGCCGAGGGAATTCCGGGTTCCCCTTTTCACGGAATTGCTGTAGCGACGCGATATGCTGATTTACGACAATGCACTTTGGCTATTGCTTGCAGCGCTCCTGCTTGACGCCCTCATCGGCGACCCTGACTGGCTCTGGCGCCGTCTGCCGCATCCGGTTGTAGGAATCGGCAGGATCATCTCGATTTTAGATGACAGCCTCAATCGCCCGACCATGACGGCAGGACAACGCAAGGCGGGCGGTCTGATAACCCTGCTGCTGCTCGTGTTCGGCGGTCTCGGTCTTGGCTCGGCTCTGGAAAGCATTTCGGGTCAAATCCCGTTTGGCGACATCCTGATCGTCATCGTCACGACAGTTTTTCTTGCCCAGAACAGTCTTTACCGACATGTGGCTGCTGTTCGGGACGGGCTGGAACAATCGGGGCTTGAAGGCGGGCGCAAGGCTGTTGCCATGATTGTCGGGCGGGATCCGAACCAGCTCGACGAGGCCGGCGTTTCCCGGGCGGCAATTGAATCCTGCTCAGAGAACTTTTCCGACGGCGTGGTCGCCCCTGTATTCTGGTTCGCCCTGTTTGGCCTGCCGGGTTTACTTGCCTACAAGGCCGTCAACACCGCTGACAGCATGATCGGACACAAGAACGAGACCTATCGCGAATTCGGCTGGGCGTCGGCAAGGTTCGATGATCTGATCAACTTGCCCGCTTCGCGCCTTTCAGGCCTCTTCATCGCCCTGTCAGCTCCGTTGGCATACGGCTCTCCTCGCAAGAGCCTGACCTGCATCATCAGGGATGCCGGAAAGCACAGATCTCCCAATGCCGGTTGGCCGGAGGCTGCCATGGCCGGCGCGCTCGACATAGCCCTGGCCGGGCCACGTGTTTATCCAGGGCAAACGGTAGATGATCCCTATCTCAACGAAGCGGGGCGAAAGGAAGCAACGGCAAACGACATTGATCGTGCCGGGATGGTCATGATCGGGGCGTGCGTCATACAGGGTCTGACAATCGGATTGCTCGCTGCAGTCGCAGCTTAGTTGTCTAATTTTTCTTCCCGCTCCGCATCGACAGCCGGCCTCAGTTCGCGCAACCAGGTGATGAGGCCGGAGATTCCGCTGGAAGCCGCAATCAATAAAATACCACCGACGACCTCGAACACTGAGGTCCAAAAGGATGCAATTTCGTGAGGTGACAGGACACTGGTTCCCAAATTGTATTCTGAGGTCATCCATTGAAGGAACTGGATATTCACCAGGCCCTGCAACCCGTACATTGCGAATCCCAAACCGATCAACGCAACACCTGCAGACTGGAAAATCCTGGCATTGTAGACGTCTCCGGCGTCAGTCTCATCTTTTGGAAAGCGAAGGCCAATCAAAACAACGCGCGGAAAGAAGTACAACAAAAAACAAATCAGAAATTGCCACATGACAGACAGGGAATGCATATCAATCGACGCATCAGAAGTAACATTCATGATCATGGCTGGAACATAATAAATAATACTCATGAAATAATATATCGTAAACAAGCGAACTAAAACCAACACCATCTTTATAATCATAAGTCTCTCCATTGACTACCGCAGAACAACACAAAGAAATTTTGTCGAATCTTGTTTCATGAGAATGCAAAAATGAATTTTCTTTGTTCTTCTGTGTCCGGCACCAGGACACCGCGGGCCGCCGACACCTTTGCCAAGGCATCTTCCGCAAGAGTTCCGAGACCTATCAAGACGCAACAGGCTACAAGACCAGACCTGCCGATGCCTGCCCGGCAATGAACCACGACACTCGATCCTGCGTGCAAGTCAGCTATTATGGATAGCGCAAGTTCTTTTGCCGCTGCAGTCTCCGGTATATCCCGATCAACAACCGGAACATTGGTGAAGTTGATTCCGTTGCGCTCACAAACCTCACCTTCGTTCGCAAGCGAAAGGCTATCTGCCTCCTCTGGTGTCAACATCGAGACGATGTGGTCGATGCCGATCAATTTCAGTTTCTTTAAGTCGTCATCGAGCCATTCACCGGAGGGCTTGGGCATGATGAAAAATCTCCCGGCGGTATCCACCGGGATTTCATAGAGCGAAGGTGTCATCGCTGCGAATTCCCTTGAGTTTATCGAGCTTTGGCGATTTTAAGAAACGCCTCGGTGTCCAGCACAATCTCCAGGTGCGCCGCCAGATCATCCAGGATGCGGTCGATGCTCTTGTCGTAGGCAAGAGTTGAAGAGGCTCCGAAGGATCGGAGATAGGCAGACCGGAAACCGTCGCTGGTAAAGAGACCGTGGACATACGTGCCCGAGACAAGACCTTCTTCAGAAATTGCGCCGTCGGTATGACCGTCCTTCAAACGCATCATCGGCCGTTCGCAATCGGGACCCGATGTGCGGCCTATGTGGATTTCATACCCCGAAAAACCGGCTCCACTGCCGATGTGCTCGCCTTCCGCATATACGGTTGATTTCTCGGGCGTCAGCACTGTTTCAACGTTCAGGTAGCCAAGTCCTTCAACCAGTCCCGGAGAGCCTTCAATACCAATCGGATCGGCAATGGTCTTGCCGAGCATCTGGTAGCCACCACACACACCCAGAATATGTCCGCCCCTGCGGTGATGCGCCTTCAAGTCTATATCCCAACCTTGCTTGCGGAAGAATTCAAGGTCCCCGATCGTCGACTTGGAACCCGGCAAGAGGACGATATCCGCATCTCCCGGCAAGGGATCTCCAGGTTGAACCAGCTCCAACGTGACACCTGGTTCAAGACGCAGCGGGTCGAGATCGTCGAAATTGGCAATTCTGGAAATGACCGGCACGACGATCTTAAGACCTCCGCTACCAAATCCATCCTCAAGGCCGAGGGCATCTTCCGCCGGCAATTTTCCTGCGTCAGCGAACCAGGGTACAACCCCAAGGCCCTGCCAGTGTGTTCTGCTGGAAATTTCGCGCATACCATCTTCGAAGAGGCTTGGATCCCCCCGAAATCGATTGATGAAGTAGCCCTTGATGCGATCCCGTTCCTGTGCTTCGAGAACCGCATGGGTTCCGACGACTGAGGCGATCACACCGCCTCTGTCAATGTCCGCACACAGTACGACCGGCAAGTCGGCAGCTTCGGCGAACCCCATATTGGCGATGTCGCCGGCACGCAGATTGATCTCTGCCGGACTTCCGGCTCCTTCCACAATGACCAGATCCGATTCTAATTCTGTTTTTGAAAAACTCTCCAGAACTTTCGGTAAAAGCGTCTCTTTCTGCTTTCCGTATTCACGCGCCTTCATGGTTCCGAAACGCTTGCCGTGAACGATTACCTGTGCGCCAGTATCCGTTTCCGGTTTCAGGAGAACGGGATTCATGTGAACGGACAAAGGTACCCGGCACCCCATGGCCTGCAGCGCCTGGGCCCGTCCGATTTCACCGCCGTCGGCCGTCACCGCAGCATTGTTGGACATGTTTTGCGGCTTGAACGGACGCACGGCAAGGCCACGGTTCGAAAAGAGACGGCAAAGGCCGGCAACGATCAGGCTCTTGCCGACATTCGAGCCGGTGCCCTGGATCATGACGGCGGCCGTGCTGCCGCCAAAACCGGAATTGTTCATGCGCTTGTGACTTTGTTGAGTTGCGCAACACCATATGGCCGAAATTCGGCCGGTACCGGCAGAATGGCAAGGCGAGGTTCAAGCATCAAGCATATGTTTGGCCGAACTGCGAACAGAAACGATCCGATAAGAAACAGCCAGGTTCCTGCATAAACAAGTACCGGGAAGAAGAAGAGGACACTTCCAACAATGAAGGTCAGTGCGGCCAGAAATTCCACGATTGTCCGGTAGAGTTCATATTTTCGAACCAGCTCTGAATGGTCAGGCGATGCAGATCGAAGGGCATGATCGAACATCTTTGTCATGGTGCGAGGTCTTTCTCAAAAACGGCCGACGCACGGTCACCCGGGTCACGAGGGCGATCAATCAGTACATAGCCGATGGAGCGATAGAACCTTTCGGCGGTGCAGGTGCTTCTCAAACGAGCCTTCGCGATGCCCTGCTCGGCAAACCGAGTTTCGATCGCGTTCATGAGTGCTTTGCTCACACCGCAAAAGCGAGCCTCTGGGAGGACATAGTTCAAAACAACCTCACCTGTCGGCGTTCCCATTCCAACGCCGAGCAGTCGTCGCGGAGATTTGCAGACCCGCGCGACGAGGATATGTCCTGGACCATCAATCCAGTGGAGCACCGTTTCTTCTGTCTTGTTCCTGAGCCAGGTTTCGAGGCGCAAGGCATCGTTGCCGTGATCTGCGGTGCACAGTTCAGAAATGGATCGACGCAACAATGCCGCCATTTCGCCTGCTTCAGGTCTTTCGGCAGGACGTATCTCGAACCAAGACAAGTCCATTTGCGCTCCCTTAAAATTCGATGCCTTCCTGTGGTTTCACGCCGGACCGGAATGGGTGTTTCACCTGGGTCATGTCAGTGACGAGATCGGCGATCTCGATCAGTTCGTCCTTTGCATTGCGGCCCGTGATGACAACATGGACATCGTCAGGCTTTTCGTTTTTCAGGAAGTCGACCACGTCGGCGATATCAATGTAGTCGTAGCGCAAGACGATATTGAGTTCGTCACACAAGATCAGGCGGTAATCGCCGGACAGGATCATCTCCTTGGCAGCTTCCCAGGCCTGTTCTGCGGCTTCGATATCCCGCTGCCGGTCCTGCGTTTCCCAGGTAAACCCTTCACCCATACGTTTTATGGTCACAAGGTCCGAAAACCGGTCCAGGGCCATGCGCTCACCCGTCTCGATCCGTCCCTTGACAAACTGGACAACGCCTACCTTGTGACCGTGACCGAGAGAACGGAACACCATTCCGAAGCCGGCAGTGGATTTGCCCTTTCCCTTGCCCGTATGAACGATCAGCAGCCCCTTTTCGATGGTCTTGGTCGCCATGATCTTGTCGCGCGCCGCCTTTTTCTTGCGCATCTTTTCCGCGTGACGGGCGTTCAGTTCTTCTTCGGTCAGTTCCGGCTTTTCGTTATCGGCTGTCACGGCGCAGAGTTCCCTTCGAGTGTTGATTTCAAGTCCTTCAGCGCAGAATGGGTCGAATTGCGCCTTGGCGTCCAGAGACCTCGGTCAATTGCCTCCTGAAACCGGGCGAGCATTTCGGCATATCCGGCCGGATTGACGTCATTCAGAAAATCGCGAACCTCTTCGGCTTCTATATAGGCTGCATAAAGTTGGTCGAAATGATGGTCTTTGACCGCCCGGGTTGTTGCGGAAAATGCAAAAAGATAGTCAAGCGTTGCGACCATCTCGAATGCGCCCTTGTAACCATGGCGCATGACGCCCCTAATCCACTTCGGATTGGCGGCGCGTCCGCGCACGACCCGGCCGATTTCTTCGGAGAGAGAGCGCACGACCGGACGTTCCGGGCGTGAATGATCATTGTGATAGACCTTTGGAGCATCGCCTTTCAGCGTTTCAACCGTCGCGGCAAGTCCACCCTCAAACTGGTAATAGTCGTCGCTGTCGAGAAGGTCATGTTCACGATTGTCCTGATTGTGCAGAACGGCATCGACAGAGGCCAGACGGGTTTCCAGTTCATTGCGCGCTCCTTCGCCCAATACGCCCCCGCCATAGGCGTATCCGCCCCAGGTCAGGAAAGTATCGGCAAAGTCTTTTTTCTCCTGCCAGATCCCTTCATCGACAAGGGCCTGGAGCCCGGCTCCGTATGCACCCGGTTTTGATCCGAAGACACGGTACCCGGCGCGTATCGCTGCCTCGTCGGCGCTCAGGCCTTCGGTCTCCAATCTTCTTCTTTCAGACCGCATCCGAGCCGCAACAGGATTCGCGTCAGCAGGTTCTTCAAGAGCTCCGACAGCCCGTGCGGCGCTGTCGAACAGGTCCATCTGGTGGGGAAACGCGTCACGGAAAAACCCGGATACCCTTAAAGTGACGTCAATACGCGGTCGCCCGAGGTCCGAGAGTTTCAGGATTTCAAATCCGGTCACCCTGCCGGATCCCTGTTCCCAAACCGGCTGCGCGCCGATA